AGGAAGCCGCTAAGAATGAGTTCTAGAATGTCCTGGTTCCATCTGTGGCATATTGCTAATTTTGTAGCCAAATATTGCCAAGTGAGCGATTTCGCGTCAAATCTGGCAACCCTGCCACCTTTTGGCAACCCTAACTCATTTGCAGGGAAGCTATCTCACAGCTCAGCCACTGGGCATTTCGTAACACAGCCGTAAGTTGGAAAAACATAAAGTGAGTCCACTTTCCTTACAACCGGGCAATCTGTCAACCTTGGGATTAACTAGTTATATATTCTACCATCTGATGTTAATGCAAAGATGGATTCGTCATACAGATCACAGTATTTTACTTGGCCCAGGAAAGGACTCCTAAAAATAATCAAACCTTAATGGTACATCGAGCTTCGCATACAGGTAATAATATGGCCGGTGACTGGAGCATGAGTCTTCATTATTTATGGTTTCGGTTTTTTTATCGCGACAAAGCACACTTGGCTTATCTGCCAAAGGAGGAACATGTCTTCGAGGACATTCTAAGGGAAACTGGCTTGTATTCACATTACACATGGGGACCATGCAGCCAGCCCGTTCGCTTGGAATTGAGACCAGGGGGGGGCTACCAGTGTTCAGCGATTTTACTGCTCAGCCACTGGTGGGCCTTCATTATTTACGTTCCTAGTTTCATACAGCTCTTGTTTCGCCACGATCAGTTACAGTAAATAAATCTAAGAACCTCATTCAACCTTGAGGACGAGAAATACTCTCTATTCGATTATTTCTGTATTATTTTCAGTATTATACATTTATTTGAATGAAGTCTGCAAAAGATCCACAACGCACAGAGAAACATTAACCAGTTCGCCGTTAGGAAAATCGTAAACATTTCGTGCTATTTTTCGCATCCAAAGGTAAACTTTTTGTGTCTAAAACTGGGTTCAGAATATTTCTTTCCCCCTTTCACCACCTGATGCGAAAAGCCTATTTAGAAAGTTCTGTTCAAATCAGATTGAACAGCATACCTGTCACACTGAAAGGATGGTGAATAACGACCCCCTAAGGAGCAACATAAAACACAAAGACTGGTGTAATCCTTAGAGCAGATATTTTTCCCTTTGCACCCACGACCCACTTCCATTTCCTGCACCCTAACCCCAAATCTATTGCAATTTATTGCAATGTAAATGTAATTTTTTAATTGTCAAGTAAAAGCTTTATTTAAACGTAAAAATAAGTGCATTAGCTAGTATTTGAAATGTCCTTGAATTTTGTTTAAAATTATTTTCTTGATGCCTGTAACAAAAGAGAAGAATTGAATCGTTAAGAATTGAAAGGATAGCATTCAAATCCCTTTGTCCGTTAATAGAAAAGGAGAAAGCTGTTGTGGATCTCATAAGATATGTTGAGGGGGTAGCTAGTCGAAGAAAGTGTCCCCATCCTTTACTTTCCTGAAACAGCCCCGCTGTGATCCTAATGCAACACCGCTGAGAAGATAAGTAACCCATCAATCACCCCTTTTGATTTTCGACTCATTCTGTGGGGGTTGGAAAAACGTCGCTGCGTCGTATGTGTCTCGGGGGTTACGGTTCAGACCAAATTTCACCCCGACGAGAGTCTGCCGACGCTAACGGATGACGATGCCTTTTCTGTGAACGTATTTCTCTCGGGGCAAACGGTGAACTGGTTAAAATCCTATACAATCACCCCTTACCGAGGGTCATTGTCAGGTGTATGACTTTAATTGTTATACGCGCTAGCTAGGCACATTGATTTTATCAGAGCGACACAGGAATCAATGACTTAGCACCATTATTTTTAACTTGTTTGGTTTCATGTCATAACTATATTCGTGATGGATAGAATTTCCATATATTTGCGAAAGTCTTAATATTTTCCCTCATTATATTGATTTTCAGTACTTTTCCGTTTTGCCGGCGCAAACGATAAAGTCGCCAATAATGGTACAACTGATACCAAAACGGAATATCTTCGCTGGTAACCTTTTACGCCTCATTTTCAAAACAAGTCGCAGCCATTTCTTACCAGATTGAATGTTTTTTCAATACTGGCATACAATTACATAAAATATTTACAAAGATAATTAAATTTGATAAAAGTGTATTTTAGGGTACCCCTTCGCGAAACTTGGCGGTACATGGATACCGGGTTTGTGCAATTGGACTTGTTATTTTGGCTTGCGTAGCGGCGATTTTTTGCCGGGCAAAAATCAAAAATCGCCGCTACACAAAGCCAAAATAACAAGACAAAGAATTGCATAAACTCGATATCCATGTACACATCGACCTATTTTCACTTTTAAAAAAATCTCAGAATTGCACAAGGCATTGCGCACTCCCTTTATCTATGTACACATCAACCTATTTTCACTTAAAAAAACATCAGAGAATTGCACAAACTAGGCTAAATCGCCGCTACACAAAGACAAAATAACAAGACAAAGAATTGCACAAACTAGGCTAAATCGCCGCTACACAAAGACAAAATAACAAGACAAAGAATTGCACAAACTCGATATCCATGTGCCCACCAGCGGCCGAGAGGTAAAGACCGCTGAACACTGGTAGTTCGGTCAGAGGTTCGAATTCCGCAAACGGGCTGGCTGCATGAGCGTTTTCGTGGTTTTCCCCGTGTGTAACGTGTATACGAGCCAGTTTCCCTTAGAAAGTCCTCCACGAAGGCATCCCTCCTCTTAGGCAGATAGCCCTTGAGGCTTTGCCATAATCACACACACACACACGATATCCATGTACTCATCGACCTATTTTCACTTTAAAAAAAACTCCTAGAATTGCACAAAAATGGCATTGAGCACTCCCTTGACTTTATCCATGTACACATCGACCTATTTTCACTTAAAAATCATCAGAGAATTGCACAAACTATGCCTTATGCAATCCCTTGAGTTTGTCAATGTACACATCGATATATTTTCATTTAAAAAGTGAAAGGAGCACCCAATTCTACAGTAGAGGCAAACAAAAAATACATAATCTTAATAAACTACATTTTAAACCAAACAATAAAAAAAAACCTGTTATGCGTTTAAGCACTACACAAAGTAAATATCCACTTACCTTATTTAGAAATTCGTTCGTCTTCAGTCTGTGGCACACAAAATTCCTTAACAGCATCCAAAAACTTTCTAAAATTATCTGAACTAGGATCCGTATATCGGCGTCGCAACATAATTTCACAAAAATAAGAGTAAAAATACACTACGTAGTTCCAATCTGTGGCACACAAAATTCCTTGACAGCATCCAAAAACTTTCTAAGATTATCTGAACTAGAATCCGTATATCGGCGTCTCCACATAATTTCACAAAAATAAGAGTAAAAAATACACTACGTAGTTCCAGACTGTCAGGAAAATGGCTACTAAGTAAACCTTCATTTGCCCGCCAGTCAATTAATGCACTTTTCCCCTTTCTTTTCAAATCGTATAGAAACTTCAAATTAATCTTACTACATTCGGCCATTGTACCCCCTAAAGAATGAAACAAGCAATGTACTTCCTATGCAACACACACAACAAAAGCCCTTGTAAAGCATCCCATGATTCAAAATTTCCCGAAATAATGCAAACGATTACGTCATAATAGGGTTTCCATAACATTCAACTACTCAGGTTACCATAAATGATACAACAACTTGGCGATAAAAGAAACAACAACTTCGCGATAATACAAGAGGTACCCTAAAGTCAACTCTAACCTTAAATTTTATGCCCTAAGACCATTCACGGTAATTAAGTCAATTAGGATGCAATCACACCGCTCACCCGAAGGTGAAAATATAGAAAAGGCAAAATCAAGGGTTAAATTCATCAATTCTAATGAGAATGCACTAGCGAAGTAAAACACTGCGGTTTTACATAATTTCTGAGTAAGCTATTCGTATGAATTGAAATAATTCTTGCATTTAAACTTGTATTCCAAATTAAGATTTAACTTGAAATTAATGTAGATAATTACTGAGAGAATTATATTTTTGTAGCGTAGTTTACGTGAGATGAGATCACTTGGGGTCACGTGATACGAACCGGCGAATCAGGATTTTGAACCATGACAGCATAGCAAATTCTTAAATTCATGTCTTTTTACAAATTTATTGTCTTTATTTATTGGCTTTCTACAAAATTTTTAAACCATATTAAAATATTTATGCCTTCAAAATAAAAAATTCTTAGAACTAAAATTTGTTAACATTTTTTACGTGTATACTGTATATTGTCGCCAACAAAGTCTGCTTGGCGAGATTTGCGCCGGCGAAACAGAAAAGTACCTGATTTTCTATAAATGACACAAAACTAAGTTGCTTAAGCCAAATGGTTTTTAAGCTTCTTCCTATGACTTTAAATATGTAGTAGCTAAATAGTACACCTTTTGATTTTTCTACAATTTTAGAAAGAATATACTATTCTTCAAGTAGTTATATAGCTCAAAACTCATGGTGGCGTATAAAAATCCCATTTAGCTCTTTGAAATATTTAATTTTAATTTTTGAAACTGCCGTTCTATTCAAATTTCTGTTTTCTAAAGATTAAACACCGTTATTGTTCACCTTTACTGAAAACTAAAAGTGTACTTTTATGATGCCTTCAAAATACTGTTGAAAGTCCCACTTCTTATTTTGGAGATGATACCAAGCGGTAATTTATCCTGGCCCACCCTATAATACACTATTTTGTTTATTTTCAGCTTTATAATTCGAATTTTGATATTCTGAGAGATAGTAACTTCCGCACAGAAAATTGCTTAGCCGATAACTTTTGCATGATGATTGAGAAAAAAAAATTTGACCAAATATTAAGATGTAGAAGCTATTACAGTTTTCGGCACCTGAAACGGGAAAAATGTATTCTTTTTTTGCCAGAAATCCCACAACGGATCTTCTAGTTGCCAACTGGATGTGCTAATTACTATACCACAAAGGAATGTGCATGAGGAAAGTTATAATTTTCTGAAAAAGATATCAAACATATATGAAGAAACTTAAATTTACCTGCTATATTCTGACCCGTGTTCTGTTATATAATGAAGGATTTTGTAGTATTTATTGTAATCGAAAGGTTGCTTGTTTTTCGGGTTTGATATTAACTGCTGAAGTGCTCGAAGCTGACTTTTCATGAACAGCCATTGTTCTCGAACAGTTTGACTGATATGTCTCCTTGTTTGCTCCATAAGCGATGAGGGACTTTGTTTGCATTCTGGAATGAAAAGCCCTTTCTTTAGTTGCAAAAATTTTATTCTGCGTTATTTTAGAAACATTAGGAATTTGTACATACCTTTGGTGCTAGCGCGTATGTTTCTTTGATCATTCACGACAAAACTAGAAAAAAAAGGTTTAAAATTTCTTACTACATAAATCGCAAATGCTGAAAAAGACTTTTAAGTTTAAAATATTCGTCAATTATCTCTTAACCTACTGAATCATTCAGATGCAATAAAAAAACATGATACAATAGCTTCTTGTAAACTATCTGTTAGCGTCAAGGATTATAATAAAATCAATGTTTAAGATTAGTAGCTAAGCAGGGTATTATCATTGCTCTCAGACACAGAGAAAATTCTCTTCAAGTCTGTTAAGGTTATAGGAAAAAATAGCATTCTCATATCAAGTGTAACGCTATAACGGACCTTATTCAAATTACATTTAATTTATCATACATACATCCAATTTATGAGTATTTACAGCATCATTGTAATTAGTAAAAGACATTTCAGATACCATATATTGCGTACTTCCTACAGAATTTGTTTCCTTTTGTGAAGATTAGATCAGTTCATAAGAAAATTCGAACATTGCATGTTTTATCACTAACATTACATACCTAACCGTTTTTTTTATAAAAAGGTAAAAAAAGAACAGATACTCTGTTTTGCCCTTAGCGGCACTAACGTACCAATTTTCCAACAGTTGCTGCATTCTATAAAACATAATTTGTAATAAGGAACGAGATTCAAATTTTCTTTTCAAGTTATTTAAGAGATGCAACTTTTAACTATTTAGATGATGTGCATTACTTTTGTAACCTTTTATCTCTTACCTGTAATTTGAAGAAATTTCTTGAAATCGATCATTTTTGTAGTTGCCACTGGTGAAAGTTAACCCTGAATAATCCTCTTTATAGGTAAATGATAGAAATTCAGTTTGGGAGCCTTTTCTCTGACCAATTATCAAAACTAATGAGAATACCGTAAATATTATGATCAAGTAAACCTAGTAAAATAAAAGAAGAAGAATTACCATCATAGAATTAACTAAAGTGTATCCTTTACAATTTTATTTGTGCAAAAAATTTCTGTATTGTGTTTTAAGCTTCACCTGGTTTGTGCATTTTAAACCCGACGTATTATACTTAAGCAGCATTTGTGAATTAATAGCATTGCAGACTTGCATAGGCTTTTCTTAAATTTAAAAGCTTTTTAATGATAGTATAACAAGTTCACTTTCTTAATAGAGAAAGATGTCACTTAAAGACATGAATAAATATAAATTTTAATATATTACAAGCAGTTCTACTATGGGCGATTTGGATTTAATACGGCTTAAAAAGCCTTTGTCAAAGTTCTCTCAAACTTCAATACCTTTGTTCTTATATATATGTTAACTAATCTGCAATCAGAAGCCGACGAAAGAAGATGAAACAATAAAGATAAAAATATGTAATTAATAAACATAAAACTTCTTTTAAGCTTTTCAATTAATTTCAATATATCACCCTTTGATCACGCCATTAAATCAAAAAACCGTAAGATTAGTATGAGTTCTATAATTATTCATCAGAAGATAAGACCATTGTTTCAGCCATCTTTTCGCATGTTTTTTATATTAACCTATAACGTTGCGCGCCATGTTAGTTCAAATAAATATAAACCCTACAAACCTATAAGCAGTTTCTTTTTTTATTTTCATGAGTTTGATATTAAAATTTCCTTTAAATACCTTCATACTGTTTCATAGACGAACCTTTTAGCAATTTCTTCAACTTATTTTATTGCGGACCCAACCTCTTTAATAGATAATTTCATAATTCGGTTTGATTCTTTTCAATTTATCCCTCTTTTACTCTCAGTTTGTTTTAACGATTTAGGATAATTATTACAATTTTTAAAATTCTAGCGATATTACTACTTTTGGAGAGGGATTTCTTGAAAAATGTCTCTGAAATGTAAAATCTTTAAAAACTGACATTTTGAAATTGAAAAATGACTTTTTGCTGGAAATTGAGCCTGGCATGTGAGATTTCAGGGTTGATACATTAATGAATATATCTCAGGACAGCATGGAAGGAATATCTTTACTTCTTACATTCTCTGCCTACACCTAAGGGTGTAGAAACATTAGGTTATTTTGATGCTGGAGATGTGAAAAATGAGCAATGCCTTCGCCGGGACTTGGACCTCGACCTCTCAAATTCGAGCCGAGTGATCTACCGTTACTCCACGAAGACATGCTGAAAGGGAGGGAAAAAATACCCTATATATTCCCCCTTCTAAAAGGCGACTGGGGATTAGGGGGCCCAATCGCCAAATCCTGATGAATAACCCTCTACCTCCTTTTAGTTCGGGGGCCACTGTAGAGTTATTAGAGTTTTTTGAGCAGGATAACATGAAAAATGAGCAATTGCCTCGCCGGGATATGAATCTGGACCTCTCGAATACGCGCCGAGTGTACTACTGTTACACCACGAAGGCATGCAGAAAAGAGGGAGAAAACATCTTTTAAGGGTAACTGAGGGAAAAAGAAGACGACTCTAAGAGATGAAACCAAGTTGCTGAGGAATGTTTTCCGCCATTTTCGGTTTGAGGGATATTGTACAAATACTATTAGAAGTTTGGGTGCGAAGCATCTATGAAAATTCCCTATGCTTTCGGCAGGAATCGAATATGAATTTTCAGTTCCTGACTAATAAGTTGAGCGCTACACACAAGAATAGAAGGGGGGTGTCTTCTATCCCTTACATTTCCCACACCTAAAGGCGACTGAGGGCAGAAGCTGACATCAGTTGATCAGTATAGGTATGGGATGAATTAGCGTCTACTACGCCTTTCTTGAAGCGCCATTGCAGAGGTATTAGCATTTTTGGAACGAGAAATATTTGTGAATGACATTGCGCCTTCGCCGTTCTACTAAAAGTGCTCAAAATTAGTAATATATTTTCCCGCTATCAGTTAAAAGTCTAATAGTTGCTACTAACATTTAATGACATCGATAAGATCCTACAGATACCTTATAACGTGTCGTATTTTTTGGGAACATAAAACGTGCGTCTTAAGACATAAAGTGAATTATCACTATGTCTTGTAAAGTACCCCCAGAGACTGAAAAGTGTGTAAAGGACCCTTTTATTTGACTCAAATAACGATTAACAGAAGGCACCGCTCGTGCTTACAGAAGCCAGCATTTATGGCTTAAATCAAAGAATTTGATTGAAGGCTAATGCCTACAAGAGTAGAGAAACAAGCAAGTTGGTTCTGACCTAAAGTCGGCGTGATAAGCATAACTGCTAAGATAACGCAGCGCTATTCTTAAGAAAATTAAAATAGCAACGGGGCCTTCAGCAGGCAAAACACGCTCTTAATTCTACTTCTAAAACCTTCCTTTAAATACCATCTCCTTTCTGCATCATTTGAATATCACGCGTGCTCGAAATTTACATTCTTGTAGGAAAATGGGAAATCAAGAGGACAGAAAAGCAGTTTAACATAAAGTAATTGGTTAATAACCTAAACGAGATCTTACAACCTATATAATGAAAATCAAAATCAGTAGAGCTTTCTGATATTTGTATTGCTTTTCTTATTCGCATCGGTAGTAATACAGCAAAAATTAATGTCAATAGATTTTGTATTGCATATTATGGCGTTTTTTTGACATGAGAAGTGCTCTGTTGGAATCAATACAAATCAATATCTACTTTTACTGATAGCAGCAAAGCATCTCATTGGTATTCATGTTGCCTACTGATCTTATTCTTTCGAGACTTTTAATTAATTTTATATGAGTTTTTGACATGTTATTTCATAATTAATACGGAAAAATTATTCTGAATATGTATGTCATATTGTTTAGCAGCTTATATTATATTATATTTTATTTTGCGGTTTTCAAAATATTTTCAACCAAAATACTACATAAATTAGCAAAATAGCTTTAGTCTGTCTTAAAATTTTACGTACTCTTTTATTAATTTTATTTGGGACATTTATTTCGTACTGCAAGACAGAGTAATAATAAACCTTAGAAAAGAAAAATTTTATAGTTAGTAAGATATAAAGCTAAAAGAAAAAAAAGGTCAGAATTTTAATGCAAATATTAATTTATAATTTAGTGTGTCTTTAACACATATTTGATAATTAGTATAAAGTTAATTATTTGTTTACATAAAATAATAAAACAAAATCCGAAATATATGAATGACTGAATGACTGTTTTCAGTTTTCTGATAAAGTTATGGGATAAAACACACTGGCATGTATGTAAAGTTATAAGATATTTTCTCTCTTCTTTTCGCATGCCTTCGGGGTGTAATTGAAAGCATACTCGACGAGCATTCGAGAGGTCCAGGGTTCGAGTTCCGGGGAGGGCACTGAACATTTTTCACATCTCCTACTTTAAAAAAAATAACCTAATGACTCTACGAAGTTATAGGATACCCCTCTAATAACGTGTGGAGCCTCCTTTAGGTCGGCAAAGCAGCTCGATAAAGTTTACTTAATTGTGGCCAATAGATCAAATGTACTTCTGACGGACTTCCCATGCTGCAGTTTCTATAGATGCTGTCATAAATATCAGCAAGTAAGTGCTAAAAACATATATTCAATTATCCGAAAAAAGTCTCTTATTCAGAATCAGCGCGTTCCTGTTACTGGAGATTAAAAGAAATTCTGGTCTACTTTTTTTAACGCGATGCCAACCTGACTTGTAAATGTGCATACAGTTTCCCATAATTTTTGGCACGTCAGTGTATACATGGTGTTTAATGTGCATATATGTCTATACAAGATATGAAAATAAAGCTCTATGAATGTGTTCATTTTCTACATAAACCAGAAGAACACATTTTATATTTCTTCGAAGTAACGTTCGTCATTTCCAATGAACTTTTAAAAACGATTGTACAATTCCTGAAAACTGCGGAACTAAGTACTCTTTCGATAGCGCAAGGAGAATCTAGTTATATGGTTTTTAATGTCAGAAATATCAAAAAAATCATTCTTCTTTTATGGCTGTTTCAGGTGGTCAGAAACAGAAGGAAGTGTGCTGGAGTAAAATCACAGCCGATACCTTAAAACAAACCCCCCCCCGTGATAAACAAAAACCACCCGTGAAAATGACTGGCTTTTCTAGAATTACACATGCATACAATGAAGTCAATGAAAATTTCCCACATCAGTGTTTCTCAGAAAGCTCAAAAACTATATCGACATCTGGGCAGCAGTACTCGCTGATCATTATTGTACGAATATTATTTAAATAAGAGGGTGCTGATCATGAAAATAACATTAAAATTTTCGATTGGCTCTCGTTTCTGCGTAGCAGAGGAGGAAGTAGTGAGTGTTTATCTGTCACAATCTATGTCTATAAATACTGTTGAGAATCTGACAACGTGACAGCAACGCTGTAACATTTGTAGAAATACGCACAAAGTAACCACTCGATTAGATTAACAAAGACAATTTTAATCAGGAGGAAAAAAGTGTCCAGGAACCCCAACCACGCAAGAAATGCTCAACTACCCTAAACGCACAAAATCAGCATTGGATCATGAAAAATTAGAAGAAATGGTACCTTTTGGGAAGTAGCCCACGCCAGTGCAACATCAAAACAAACATTAAAGCGCTGTCATAGTTCGGGAACATTTTGCCTTTCATATTGTGTCAATACAAACACTATGAAAGGATATTCCGTAATATCAGATGCCCACTAGCGACCGAGCTGTAAAGTTTCTGAACACTGGCAGTTCGACCTGGGTTAGATTCCAGGCGAATGGGGTGGTTGTATGGGCGTATTTGCACTTTTTCTAATGTGTGACGTGGATGCGATCTAATTTTCCTCAAAAAGTCTTCCATGAAGGCTTTACTCTCCTTAGGCATACAGTCCTTGTATGCTCTGCCATAATCAGATGAAGCAAACTATCTGTAACATCAACACTGATGATTGTTTGATAGCCTAACATTTCGTTAGCACTCCCCTGCGCCATTTATGGTGTCAAA